ATACTCCTTTAACATGGTATAATAACAATACAGTTCTCAAGAGTTGCAAGGGTCATCTTCCCTTGTAGGGATGTAAACATTTTGCCCTTATTAACAACATATCGTATCTTTCTGTCCCATTTATCTTTTTACGTCTCTCTTGAATCCTGTACTTGAAGATCAAATTTTTTGTTGAGCTCTGGTCTTTTTGTCAGGAATGTTTGGAAGTCCCCTATTTCGTTGAACCCATCTCCTTCCCTGAAAAATCATGCTCAATTTTGCTGGGTAGTTAATCCTTGGCTGCATTCCAAGCTCCTTTGCCTTACAGAATATCATGTTCCACGCCCTGGTCTTTTAATGTAGAGCCTGCAAGGTCCTGTGTAATCCTGACTGTGGTTCCATGATATTTAATCTGGTAATTTTGGAATTTAGCTATTCTATTCCTTGGCATTTTCAATTTGGGATCTCTTTCAGGCGGGGAGCGGTGGATTCTTTCTTTAGTTATTTTACCTTCAGGTTCTAGGACTTCAGGGCAGTTTTCCTTTATGATTTCCTGAAGGATATTGTCCAGGTTCTTTTTTTCATCATGGCTTTCAGGTAGGTCTATAATTTTTAAATTGTCTCTCCTGGATTGATTTTCCAGGTCAGCTGTTTTACCCATGAGGTATTTTACATTTTCATTTATTTTTTCATTTTTTTGTTTCTGTTTGACTGATTCTTGCTCTCTCATAGAGTCATTAGTTTCCATTTGTTCAATTCTAATTTTTAACATATTGTTTTTTTCTGTTAGATTTTGTACTTTCTTCTCCAATTGGTCAATTGTATTTTTAAGGGATTTATTTTCTTCAGTGTATTTTTTTTCCAGTTGGCCAATTGTACTTTTAAAGGACTCCTCTACCTCTCTCATTTGACTTTTAAAATCCTTCTTGAGTTCTCCTAAGAAGGCTTTTTGGGCTTCAGACCAGTTCACATTCCCTTTAAATGTTGCAGATGTGGGTTTGATGACAGTGTTGTCCTCTTCAGAATTTGTCTTGATCTTCACTCTTCTCATAATATGAATCTATCGTACGTTTCTTTTTACTCATGGCGTTTCTTTATTCCCTGGCCTTTAAAGAGATTAAGCTCTCTGCTGGGGAGCACAGGGCACTGATCCAAGCTTCTTGTGTTGGGAGCCTAGGTCTTGGTCACTGGCTTTGTGTGCTGGGGCCTCTTATGTTGGCAACTGGAGGCTGTAGGGTTCTGGCAGCTCATCTGGTGTTGGGCTGGAATCAGCAAGGCTGGGACTTTCAGATAAATCTAAGCTGCCTGCTTTTCCTTTCCTTTAGCTTTGTTTAGCTCCTTTTAGATAAGTGTTGCCAGGTGTTTATCTGCCTGGGGCCCCTTGCAATGCTGCCTCCCTCATTTCTGTTGAGGCACTGGAAGACTTCTTTACTGTAGAATGCCGAGGCACCTGCTGGTTCTCGGAGCTGGTTTCCACCAGTTACCCCACCCTCACTGAGGCACTCGGAGCTACAGCTGTTGCGTTTGCCTGCTTGACCACCTGGTCTTCGGGATCCCCTCCTGGTTGGCAGCTGGAGGCTGCAGGGTTCTGACAGTTTACCTGGTGTTGGGCTGGAATCAACAAAGCTGCAACTTTTTGGCACCTCTAGGTTGCTTTTTTCAGCTCCTTTTCTTATTTTTGTTGAGGCTCTGGGAGACCCGTTTGCTGTAGAATGCTGAGGCACTAGAATCCAAATTTTCTCCAGAATGGTTAGACCAAGTTCACAACTCCACCAACAATGAGTTATTGTATTTTACCTATTTTCCCACATCTATGTTAGCATTTATCATTTCTAATAGGTGTGAGTTGGTACCACAGAGTTGTTTTAATTTGCATTTCTCTAATCAATAGTGATTTAGAGCATTTTTTCATATGACTATAGATAACTTTGAATTCTTTTTCTGAAAACTAGTATCCTTTGACCATTTATCAGTTAGGGAATGGTTCTTATTTTTATAAATTTGACTCAGTTCCCTAAATATTTAAGAAATGAGGTATTTATCAGAGAAGCTTGCTATAAAAATTTTGGATAGTTTATCATTTTCTATGGTACCTTTTAGCAAAATGTAATTTCCTCTATTATCTCTTTTAATTAAGTCTCTTTTGGCTTTTACTTTATCTGAGATCATGATTGCTACTCCTGCTTTTTGTGATTCAGCTGAAGCATATTAGATTCTGCTCCAGCCCCTTTAACTCTGTGTGTATGTTTTTCTGTTTCAAATGTGTCTTTTACAAACAACATATTTTCGGAATCTGGGTTCTAATCCATTCTGCTATCTGCTTCCATTTTACAGATGAGTTCATCCCATTCATATTCAGAATTATGATTACCAACTGTGTATTTCCGTCCTATTTTCTTCTGTTTATCTTTCTCTCTTTTTTACCTTATCCCGTCTCAAAAGTATGTTTTGCTTCTGACCACTGCCTCCTCTTATCCTACCTCCCTTTTATCACTCTCCTTTCTCTTATACCCTTCTCCTCCTACTTCCCTGTTCAGTAAGATTATTTCTATACCCAGTCAAGTGTCCATGTATTTATTTCCCTCGTGGAACAGTTTAGGAGAGAGTAAGGTCCAAGCGATGCCCAACCTGCTACCATTTTCTCTTCCACTGTAAGAGCTCTTTCTTCTGTGCCTCTTTTGTGACATTAATTTTCCCCATTCTTCCTTTCCCTTCCCATTTGTCCCAAGGCATCCTTCTTTCTCAACCTTTCATTTTTTTTAACATCATCACAACATCATCACCCATGCCCTGTGTATATGGAGAATTCTAATGACTGCCCCAATAATGATAAAGTTATTAGGAGTTACATACATCATCTTCTCATGTAAGAAGGCAAACAATTTAACCTTATTGAGTCCCTTATGCTTTATTTTTCATGTTTATTTTTTGATGCTTCTCGTGATTCTTGTATTTGAAAGTCAAATTTTCTAGTCAGCCCTGGTCTTTTCATCAGGAATGCTTGAAAGTCCTCTATTTCATTAAATTTCCATTTTTTCCCTGAAGGATTATACTGTTTTTTCTTGTTATCTTGGGTTGGCAAAATGCATCTCTGTGACCTTTGGTGGGCTCGGACCTCCAAAATTTGATTTGAAGTGTTATTTTAAAGTTGTTTGGAGAGGAAGGTTGGGAGAATTCAGCTGGATTGCTGCCTCTGATATGAACCCTTTTCAAAAGAAAAAAGATACAACCTTTAAAAAAAATTGAAAGAATGTTCCAATTAATTACTAATAAGAGATTGCAAATTTAAACAATTTCAAGTTTTACCTCACCACAAGCAAATTGGCAAAGAAGACCAAAAATTTATAAAAATATATAAGTTGTCAGTGTTATATGTTAGAGAATAGATACCCAAGCATACTCTTAGTGGGGCTATATATTGATATAACAATTCTGGAAAACAGTTTGGAATTGGATGAGAAAAGTTACTAAATTATTTATACCCTTTGAAGCAGGGATGCCCCCCTGCTGGACATACACCTTACTATTAAAAAGTCATTATATATACTGAAATATTCATTGCAGCACTTTTTGTGGTAGGAAAAAATTAGAAACAAAGTAGGTGTCCATCACTTAAGGGAAGGCCAAACACATTTTTGTTCACCAGTGTAAGAAATGTTATAAGATATAACAAACATGAGAAATTCAGAGAAAAGTGTCAAGATTTGTACAAATTCATACAAAATAAAATAGGCAGAACCAGGTAACCTAAATTCAGAATGACCACAGTAATGGAAGTGAAAAGAACCTAAAATGAAATAGTGCTTTGACCAGTCTAGGCCCTGGGAAGAGATAAGGAACTGTGCTTCTCTCCTTTTGATAGAAAGTTTAGAATTTATGGGTGCAAAAAGTTAAATACACTGTGTAACATGGTCACTGTGTCACTGAGTTTTACTTAATTGTCTTCTTCTGTTATAAGGGAAAGGAATAAATATTTTATTGAACACCTACTATGTGCCAGGCACCGTTCTAACCACTTTACAAGTATTATCAAATTTGGCCCTCTCAACAATCCCTTGAGGTAGGTGCTATTATTATCCCCATTTTGTAGTTGAAGAGACTGAGGTTGTCAGAGGTTAGGTGACTTGCCCAGGGTCACACAGTCAGTACATGTCTGAGATGGGAGTTGATTTCAGGCCTTTCCAACTCCAGACCCAGCACTCTATCCTCTGTGTCACCAGCTGCCTCTGTAAGGATAGGTTCACTGAGTGACTAACATGAAAACAAAAGAAATCCCCCTAGTATTTAAAATTCTTCTGTGTATAAGCCTAAGCTCATGAAAATATTGTTTTCGGGTAAGTGGCTACATCAGCTCATTGCAGGGTTTGGAATTACTCATGGCCTTTCTTCTTCATACCACTTAGGCTTGCATTTGTCTTTTGCTCACATAGTTGCTCTGTTCCTGAGTGCTAGATGCCAGATTCATTTTCTGCTCCTAATGCTTTGCAGCAGTCGACAGCTCTATTAAACTATTTGCAAATATGCTTCATTATTTCTTTAGAGGGTTGCAAAGCTACAGAGCTACCTATACCATGGGCTGAAGTCAGATGGACACAGAGGGACAGGAAATCGTACATGATCCATACTCATTATTTGAAGTTTAGGGAGTTCATTTTATTCATTAATTAAATAACTTTTATCACCCTACACTTGCTTTGTTTTTCTCCTAAAATTTGAATTCTTTCTTATTTTTATTTTTTTGCTTCTTGGTAAGGCAATTGGGGTTAACTGACTTGCCCAGGGTCACACAGCTAGTAAATGTCAAGTGTTTGAGGCCAGATTTGAACTCAGGTTCTCCTGACTCCAAGACCTAAGCTCTATCCACTGTGCCGCCTAGCTGCACCTAAAACTTGAATTCTTAAGAACTTTTGTTTTTATATCACCTAACCTTCCTTCCTATATCTCCCCTATTGCCGCCAAACTCTTTTAATGACTACAGTATACGGGAATTACCAAACTTTTGATATATTTATCACCCTTAGGCTATGGCACAGAAAGAAGATATGGAAGAAAGAATAACTACTCTTGAGAAGCGCTATTTAAGTGCCCAGAGAGAATCCACTTCCATCCATGACATGAATGATAAACTAGAAAATGAGCTGGCAAATAAGGAAGCCATCCTACGTCAGGTTCAGTATCTATGTCATGGTTCTATTCGGGAATGTCTGTGACGTCTCGCCATTCTGGAAGGATACAGGTTAATCTAAATTAGCTCTGGTGGTAGGTTTCTGTGAAATTAGATCACTACTTGCAGTAGAGGATGGGACAAAAAAAATATGGAATGGCCTAAGAATTGTTTTGTATGGTTTTTCTACTAGGGCACAGTAGAGATGCTTTAAAATGGCAATATTATTTATCATTGTGAAATCATAGCAATGCATAGTAATGTCCAGTATCCAAGTTTTTCCACTTGGTAATGCCCTTTATAAAAGACTAGGGAATAGTTTTACCTGATATCTGAGCATCTTAAGTTTCTATAATGGTATGAGAATATGTATGTAGTCTATTAAAACAAAATTTAAGCAGCATTTGCCATGTTATTGTAAAGCAGATACTAATTTAGCAGTCATTGAAGTAATGAAAGCGTCAGGGCACATGTATCTAGTGTTTGATTTCTTAATTTAATCTTCATAAGTTGTTGATGGTTCCCTCTGGTTTCAGATGGAAGAGAAGAACAGACAGTTACAGGAACGTCTTGAGTTGGCTGAGCAAAAGTTGCAGCAGACCATGAGGAAAGCTGAGACCTTACCAGAAGTAGAGGCTGAGCTTGCTCAGAGAATTGCGGCATTAACAAAGGTACAACCCTCGACGATCATTCCTGTTTGAAACCAGTAAAAACCATGACTTAACATGCTGTTTTCTTCATTCTAAGACACTTTCAAATTAGTAGTCCTAAGCATGATCATTGAGTATCAAAGTGATAAAGATTATATGCCTTGTTCGTATTAGTACTAATAACTATTTTTCAAATGAATTTCTCTCCATAATAGAAAGTGTTATAAGCCTCTGTAATTTAAATTAATTATAAATTATAGTTGATGTGTTCAAACCCTAATCAGTTTAAGATTTTAGAGATAGATGATTAAAAAGATAGATAAATTGATTTAGATTTGCATTACTATCTTAAAACAATAACCCTTCAGATTCATGCAGTAATCATAATTTTTTTTCACTAATGCGTTTGCATATCAGGAAAATAACAAAGGAAACAACTATAATCACTTTTACTTGTGAATGTGGCATACTGGATGCAGTGACTTTAGAGTTCACATATAAAGCAGTATTACTCATCAGACTTATTATTAAGGCAATCAATTCCTTTCAGCAGGAAGTCTGATGAAACCTGTTAAATCATCACAGAAAGGGTTACAAGTATTGAGTGGTTCAAATGTGGTTTCTATGGGTATGATTTCTAATATACTCAAGAAAAGTCAAAAAGATATTTAAGATTAGCTAATGTAGGACTGTCACTATATCTTTAGCAGAAGCTACCTATTTTAGACTTTTAGAATCACTCTGCTGCTAATAAAGTCTATTCTTACATTTTGCTATCAAATAGAAATGAAATAACTTCAGAGAGTACATGCATATATCTAGCTTTTGTCACAAAATCCTGATTTGATTGATGAGCACTTTTTAAAAAAAATATTAATTTTAAAATAGCCTGGTGTTTGTATGATAAAAAAAAAATTGCATTTGGCTAAATCTCCGGAGGCATTCTAGAGGTTGAGTTTAATCAAGTTCATATTAAGAATTGAAAACATTGGTAAGGAGGTTTCACAAAACAAGAGTTGTAGAAATGAAGATTTGAGCCGCTAACAGCATTTTTGAAAACTTGAGAGGCAGTCTTATGGGCCAGAAAGAGCCCTGGAAGTGGAATCAAACCTATGTTCAGGTTCTGTAATTATCACTTGATTAACTGTAAGAACTTAGACTAATTGCTTAGCTTCACTGAACCTCACTAGTTGTTCAGTCGCTTGAATTTGAAATGAAGTATTCCTGATTCCAAATCCAGCACTCTAACCATTGATCCATGACAGAGGTAATATGCATAAAATGGTTTTGAAAACCTTACTGTACTATATAGTTGTCAGCTATAATTTTTATCATATGTTATTATGAAATATAATTTCACAAAATAATAGATGATGTTTATATAGCATTTTAAGATTTGCAAAATCCTTTATATTATCTCCAGCATATTGCAATAAAAAGAATGATAGATTTGGAATCAAAGGACCTGAGTTCACTTCCTGCCTTAATCACTTATTACCTTGTGAACATCAGTTTCCTCATTTGAAAAATGATGAAGTCAGACTAGATAACCTCTAAAGTCCCTTCCAACTCTAAATCTAGGATTTATTTATTTTTACAACTTAGGAGAAGATAGTTTTATTCTCATTTTATCCTGTTTTGATCCCATTTATACAAAAAAGGACACTGTTTTGGTTTGGCTTTTCCCAACATTCACTTTAAAAGATACTGATAATTGGGGTAGTTAGGTAGCACAGTGAATAGAGCACTGGCCCTGGAGTCTGTAGGATCTGAGTTCAAATCTGGCCTCAGACACTTGACACTTACTAGCTGTGTGACCCTGGGCAAGTCACTTAACCCCAATTGCCTCACCAAAAACAAACAAAGAAACAAACAGAAAAGGCACTAATGATTGTTTTAATAAGCTTTTTTTCCCCTGAAATTAAGATCTTAACAAGTAAACAGTTACCCAAATATTGACAAAAGTCTATATGAGCTAACATTTCTAGAACCCAAGTGTTAACAAGGACCCCTCTGATCATTTGGTATGCTTCATCTACTCTTTATGCTTAGAAACCTATTGGGATTTGACCTTGCTGAACCAGGGATTATGGGACTTGTCTATGCTCATACACTTAGAAAGTGATTCAAACCCAGGACTCTCCTGAATACAACTTTAGAGTGCTTTCCACTCAATGATGGTGTCTTTAAGCAAATTGCTTTTTAATTCCTTTCCTGGCTCTTAGTTCATTGCCTCTATATTTCAACCTAGTTATCCTCACCAAATTTCCAAAATATTTTATTCACCTTTCTTCAGTTGTCTTCTCTTTTATCTACTTCCTTCTTTTATTCTGCTTCAGCATTCCTTTTTACCTCTTTCTGTCTCTTTGTCATTTCTGTCTTTTTTGCCTTTTCTCTGTTTTATTCAGTTCTTCTTCAAAATGTAACTTCTAATAAATCTTTCCTTGTATTTGCACATTGAAAGCTAACTGGTGACATTAATTCCAAACACGCATTCCAATCCCAAACCCTATATTGATCAATCAGCCACATATTAATAGGTTGTACCTATCTTGATACTTCTGTTATCAAATGTGATGTTACTTATTCAATTCAACAAATCCTTATAAAACACCTATTTCCTTTAAGGAAATAGACCCATGGTTTATTGCATAGAATACTGGAAATGAAGTCAGGTAGAATTATGTTTCATTCCTGATTTTGACACATATTAGCTAAATGATTGTGAGCAGTTTTCTTAAAATTTGGGTACCTTAGACAGCTCTCTCAGACTCTTAAGTTCCAGGATCTGTATCATTAGACAGAATTTACACACCAGTTATTCCCTATAGCAATGAAATCACACATCCTGACCTTCCACTGCCACCTTCCCCTAACCCCACCCTCCCAATGGACAGAGCACTAGAAATACAGAGATAAAAGCACAGTCCCTGCTCTTGGCAGGCTTACAATCAAGAAGCAATGGCATAACCTAGACAAAGGATTTGGGGGGAGTATTTTAGTTAGGTAATAGACTAGTTTTTGGTCTTTCTATTGAGTAAATTGTGAGTCACTTCCCCTCTAACACATTTGATTGGGTGTGTGTGTGTGTGTGTGGAGAGAGAGAGAGAGAGAGAGAGAGAGAGAGAGAGAGAGAGAGAGA